AAACATGTAAATGAAAGGGCATTCTATATTGTTGAACTGTGCAATTAAAACTGGTTAAACATTTAATTTTTTCATCACTTGACAGCCCTATTAGGATTCAATTAAAAAAACTACTTGGTGCTTTAGACAGATTCTGAGACGAGCAAAATAATCTTAAAATGAAACCTCATATGGCATCCATAACATTACAGTGTCCAGGGAATGACAACCAAATGGCTTTCAAAAAACCCAACTTCAACAGTGGAAATAGCAATAAGCAATTCTAACTTATAAGCTATTAAATAAAATGAAAGCAGAACCCACTGACTCTTTTCCATTGACTCTCCAAGACACCAGACCTTAAAACTTGTTTATTGTAATCTACAGAAAATGTATAGTTAGCTATGAGCCCTTACATTATGAATGGTTGAATCCAGAAAAGAACCACTAAAATAAATCAAAACTGAAAGACAAAGGAGCACTCTAGACTGTAAATCACTCACTTCCACATGGTGAGATGGAGATTCAGAGTAGAGATTTTTGGACACTTATAAAATTTCAAACCTCTAAATTTTAATATGAAATACATTTAAGAATCCACAAAAAACTTCATCTCTCACTGCTTCATACTTCTGTATGTTCTATATGCTGCTTTGGAAATATATTCTCAAATGTCACAGTATTGAGTTACAAACTAACTGTACTTTTACAACATAAAAAGTTTTGAAGTCTTTTAAATTAAAATAGCTACTAATGTGAAACTTTGTATTTATTTCTTGTGAAAATGGCTGTTAGGATAGATGAAAGTATAATACTGATGTAAAATGAAGTTTTGATTCTTCAATTAATATTTGAGATCTCTCTGCCTGTTCGGCTGTAACCTGCAAGGACCTTGAAAATACAGCCTCCTAAATTTATGAGTGTGGGAAATTAAAACATGCCTCTAGGTGCTTCTTCACTTTGGAGGAAGAGGGTGAAAGATAATTTCAGCCTAGGAAAGGACCAAGGATATGACATTGTTGACCTTTAGAAATAATTCTTAACCTGCAAGGTGAAAAGACTAGACAGAAAGAGAACAATCAGGAGGGTAAAATACTTCTTTAAAAGAGCTGTAATAAATTCTATAGTATATAATATTCATCTTGACAGTTGGCCCACTGAAATCAAAGGTAACCTATGATGACAATCTTGGCACCGTAACATGATCTGTGTAGGTTGGAAATGTTTTATGGCTGTAGACTTCATGACATGAGTGCATTAACTTACACTGACATATATGATATACTGTTTTGACGCTGCATCCACCACTGCTGCAATGACAGTAAAAGAACTCCAAGTGGCCGTGGGGGAGGGGAGGCTGTGAGAAAGAATGTAGCCTTCCACAATGCAATGAGAAATCAATGTCGAGACACATTGCAAGGACAAGCCCTGCCCCCTGCAGCATTTTGCAATAGCAATAAAGAGCCACGCCAAAGCCAGGATGGCGTGGGTGTGTTGAAGCTAGAAAGCCAGAACCCAGCAGTCACAAAATGCACCATTTTCATGATGGGGGAACGTGCAGTTTGGGGCAGAAGACAGATGCTTTGCCTAAGGAGGAATGGGGAGATCACATTGTGCAGAAATTTGGGGTGCAGGATTAGGAAGACTCTCTCTCTGTGGAAAATTGCATGACAGGGCAAACAATCATAGCCATCAGCTTGCTAATGTGCCACTGTGACTGATCATCTTCAAATAGAGGTGGGCAAGGGAGCAGGTCAAAGAGGGTTCATAGGGTGCTTTAGTGAGGGCAGAGAGGAAGATGTTCAGGTCTTCCGAAGGAGTAGATTTATGGATCAGTAGAACGGTATTGACCAGGCCTTTAAAGAAAGCAAATGGTGGACAGGTGAGTAAAGATAAAGGAACCGTCCACGGCAGTAAGGAAGGCACTGAGAGAGTGAGGCCTGTCGATTTGAACTGGAGTAGATAATCCAGGAGGAAGGGAATGGAGATGAAGTCCAGAGGGTAATGGTGACAGTGCACCCAACTGGCATTTACCCAGTCTCACTGGGTAAGTCTTAACAGTTCACTGGGACAAATACCTCCTCTGATGCTGCCTCTGAGGCAAAGATAGTGGCAACTCTCTGTGGCAGATGGGGGTGTGGGGTATGGCAATACCTTCAGTTGAAGGCAGTGGTTCTCAGAGTGCCATCTGTGGAACACTAGTGGTCTGCAGCTGCCTCCCAGGTGGCCCCGGGCTCAAGCTTAGTGTGCCCTCCCGCTTGGAGGGCATGGGGCGGGCGGTGAAGGAAGCCCTGGCCTGCAGAGGGAGGCAGTGTGTCTGTTGAAAGGTTTCTGCTGGATTAGCAAGTGGCAGCAGGCCCGCCTCCAGGAGCAGCCTGAGCCAGGGGAAGTTTGAGCCCACCTACCGCTGATGACTTCCTGCTACTGCACTGAGGACACAGGCAGCGGAAGAAGAGGACCCCGCATGGCTCTTCCCAGTGACTGGGTGGTGAGCGCAGATGCTCCTGCCACCACCATAGCCCAGGAGCTGCTGTGCTCTCCTGAGAAGCACTGCTGGACAGAGCAGGCAGCGGCAGAAGATGTGGCCAATGGGAGTGGAAAGCTGGCTGCCCCGCCCATGGGACTCAGTGCTCCGGTGAGCAGCTTTCTCCAGTTGACCTGGTGCTGTGGGGGAGCAGTGCAGGATCCCAAGAAATGCTGGAACTGGCTCAGGCCGCCCATCTCCCTCCCAGAGGAAGCAGTTCCACAGTCTAGCAGGGTGCTCCTCCTAGAGTTAGTGCTGCCGCCCCAGCTGAGCTCAAGGAGTTGTCAGAGCTTCCTAGCCTGGAGGAGGGCTGGCCTCGGATGGCTATTTATCTCCCCCACACACAAGCCCACTAGCCTGATCAGTTTGTCCTTAACCTGGGATGGGGGCAGGGAGTGCTGGGGTCTCGGCTGCTTTCCCTAGTGGTTGTGAAAAAAGGCACAACTCTGCTAGCTGGCTCTAGCTGTAGGATCATTCTGGGATTTGTTCTTGTCAAGGATGAAAGCTGAACAAGTGATGAGAACAAAATGTCCAAAAGCAATCTTGAACCTAAGTTGCTAGCTCATGTATTTCTCTGCCCAACGGTATCTTGATCTGTCATTCTCCATGAGCTAGTCTGCCAGGGAAGTTTGGGGCTTTCTTCACCTCCTCCTTCCCACCCACGTGCTGTCCGAATGGGAAGCTGGAGCAGCAATGCAGGCTCCCTGCTGTGTGGAGGAGCTGGAGGGGGTGAGCTCCCCCCTCCCTGTTCCACTGGGGGAATAGCAGTGCAGTGATATGCTGGCTGGAGACTTTCCCCACTTCTGCCATTGGCCATCCAATAGGAGCAGCAGTGGGCACAAAGCCACGCAAGCGTCCCCCTTCATACCTATACCCCCACATCCTAATCCCCCTCTCTCACTTCCCTCCCTCCCTCAAGACTTCACAACTCCAGCTTATTCCTACACCCTCCCTCCTGGCCAGGCACTCTACTTCCAGCCTTCTTCTGCACCCTGCCTCCTACCCAGAACTCATACCCTCCCCCTCTCCTGCACCCCACCTCCTTCCCACATGCTGCATCCCATCCCAATTGCCAGCAGCCCTGTCCCACACACTGAAGCCTTCATTTTTAGCCCCAGCCCAGAGCCTAGGGGCCCACAAAATCCACTCACCCTTGAATTCCAGAAGAGCTAATCTGGTGTGAGTCCTTCCTGCGCCCACCCCCCTCCATAGGAGGAGGGGAGCACCAGAGAGTAAGGTGTTTCAGTTGGGGGCCACATCAGTGAGGCTTAAAGGGGGAAGGGTGTGGGGTTTTTTTTGGCGGCCTCTTACTTTTGTGGTCTCAAACTGATTTCTCTGTGGGTCAGTTGCCCCGACACAAAAAAGGTTCTCTATTGCTGCCATAAATAAAGAAAACATTGAAACCCTTTGTGTTGGACATAAATTAATATTTTACTTCATTTAAAATAAAATTTGATAAACACAAGAAAGTAAAAACACTTAATCTGTTTAATTTAAATTCAACCATTCTCTCTAGCTGCAGCACTAGCAAAATGGCTCATGTATCATTATGTAATTAATAGTGAGTTTCTATCAGCAACTGGTAGTCTATGGAAAGGTTTATATTGAGCCAGGTGGTCCTCGGGCTAAAATGTTTGAGATCCACTGGTTTAAGGCAATTAGCAGTTAAATATTTTGTTGGGATGAGATAAATTGCACACGTATAATTCTTAAATAGAAATATCTTGTACAGGAAATTAGAACACATTGAAAATGTATTACATCATGAATTCTACTAGACTGTCTTGTTTGCACTGGCAAAACTTGTCTTATGAACTCCACACATTGCAATTTTACTAGTGTCAAATTCTTAGGTGGGCGAGGCTGCTCGCTAGAATAGTGGCTATTCTCACGTTTAGGGGTTGGGTTCCAGGCAGGACAGGCTGCTCACTGAGGCTGTGTCTACACAGTAGCGTTATTTCAGAATAACTGACATTGAGAAAAAACTAAGAGCGCATCTACACAGCAACCCATTATTTCGAAATAACGTCGAGCTGGAGGACTTCATTCCGACACCTGTAATCTTCATTTCACAAGCAGTAAGGGAAGTTGAAGGAAGAGCCGAATTAAGCTATTTCGACTTCAGCTAGACAATTGACATAGCTGAAGTTGTGTAGCTTAATTCGACTTTTGTCCCGCTGTGTAGACGTGCCCACATGCAGTAAGGCTCTCCTTCTGTGGAGCTGACATTTTGGTTTACAGGTAAAATTTTCAAAAATACTCAAATAACTTTAGTAGCTCTTAATAGCCCAAGTCCAATTTTCAAAAGTGATTTAGAAGCCTAAGTCACTTGGAATCTAAAAATGTTATCCTGTATTTCTGACAAACATAATAGTGCACACAGTAAGTTAATCAACTGACCATTTCATCTACATTGATATTTAAAAATACAGTTAAACTAACTTTTCCAAGAATGAATTGTTGCTGTTTGGGTAACTACTGTTTAGAATGTACTTACCCTGGATTATAAAGCATGATAGTTGAGAGATTCTCACAAGATTTTGAAAGATCAGTCATAGATAAACTAAAGGAAGACAGCAATCCACTCTAACAGAACAGAAAAATAAAATATTATTACTAATATTTAAGAAACTTTGGTTTCCTTACAGAAATATCATTTTGCCACTTGAAAAAATGTGTATTATTTTAGTGAAGCAGGCAAAAAATAATCTAAACTAGTGAATATTTAAATGTATTAGATACAAAAATTATTACAGAATTTAAATTCCTCAGTTACCTTTCTTTTCTCTCTCAGTTTGGCAGCTTCCTTGGGATGATTAAAGCGAAACATATTGGTTCGCCCAAGTAGTATAACAGCACCTGGTAGGAAGAAACACACAGAGATAGGTTTATTGACAGCATACTATACCAGGAGATATCAAATCATTTTCTCAGTCATCTGACAAGTACAATGATTTCTTTAAAGCAAGACAAAAAGGAGAAAGCTTTCTTCTAATAACTAAAGTTTCTTTTTAATGTTTAGACAGAGCTATATTAATAGCTTTTGTAGTGTATTCCTTGTTCCTTCCTAGATGTTGTGTCTTTTACAAATAAATAAATAGATAAATATATATATATACACACACATATATTTTATCCAAAGAACAGATGAAAGGAGTGGAGATGGCAGGATGTCTTTGTATACTACAAGACCTATTTGGAGAGATCTCTTCTACGATTAGAGGATAGTTTTGTCTCCAACCCATTTAATCTCTCGACTTCTTTCTGAAAGGCATCCGTTATTGTCAAATGTAACTTGTCTACTAGCCAGCACAAGAAATGGCAATGACTTTCAATCACTAAGGATCTGAGAGATTTAAACCAGTGACTTGTACATATAGAAGACTCTACTAACCCATCATCATCATCATCATCATCATCTGTGCTCTCAGCCATTCGTTCCTCCAACCAAAGACAGGTAAACATTGATCCAAAACTCATTATTATACAAATAGAATAATCTCATTATGATGCTAAAAAATCTATTTCATGAAGCAAAGCCATGAATCTTCTCAAATTATTCAATAGCCCTACTCCCATTACATTCAGATAGATGTTCTGTGTTTAATCAATTACAGATGGAAAATGAAAAAACATTTCTAGGCAACTACTGCCAGATTTGGGGGACATTACGACCAATTTTGATAATACTCCAATAATAACTCCATTGTCAGTGGTATCTTACTGCTGTAAGAAAAAAGGAAACACTTTTCAAATAGCTGTAAATGTACCTTGTTTCATTCCTGGTATATAAGAAGCACTTCAAATAGCTCTACCATAGTTTCTTATTAGGCTTGTGATTATGGTATTTACTTAAGATGATTTAGACTTGCTAACAAATATATAATGGCAATGAGAGCAGCAACTCTATTGGCCAAAGTAATTGTACAATTAAAATTTAAAATTGAGATCTTCAGATGTGAGCAATTAAACAAATTTGCCAAGATTTATTTCTGGTCTGCTGTGAGATCTGTAATATTCAGTCTGAGTATTTTGAAGGGCATGACTATCAACTGTTATAGTATCCACTGATTCTTCAAGTATGTATTCATGTTTGTTTCCAATGCAAGTCATTGTGAATATTGTATGCTGCAGGTTGAACATCTCTAGTCGAGCACTCTCTGGTCCTGCAACATCCATGGTCCAGCATGACTTTAGTTAGCCAGATGTCCACTTATGGGCGTGGCCAAGTTTCCCGCAGTCCCATAGAGTTGGTTTCCAGCCACCAGTCCTGGCTCTTAGTGTTCTGTGCTGTTATTTAGCTCTAATTTACCCCTAAATGTCTTCTAAGAGCCAAATAAGCAATGGAAGTGTTGCTAATGCTGCTAGGCAATACTGACCTCATATGGTCTAGCACATTCTCTGGTTCAGCATTGGTCAGGTCCCAAGGACTAGAGAGGGTCAACCTGTAAAGGATTTATCTGGTGTTGCTCGTATCTAACTCAAATAATGTGTTTTTCTTCATTGCTCTGGTTTGGGATGGAAGATGAAGGGTTCATTATGCAGGCCTCCCTGGGGAGAGTGGATTACTCCAGCAGGTACAGCCAGGGGAAGGACTGCATGTCTCCCAGCTAGGGAATAAATAGACAGACAAACTCTCTTAAATATGTAGTAGATAGCTGTCCCTTTCTCCACCCCTGCACGCTTCTGCCCCAATGGGGTGATAGCTGTCCCCATCTTTGACCCTGTGGTTATTACAGAATATAACTATTCCTGCTAGCAAGCCCCTCTCTTTCAGAATAATGAAAAAAATTACCTTCCACACACATAGCATTGTCCTTGCACGACTAAACCCTTACTTTAAGCTAAAAGAGGAAACTGAAGTCTTACTGGTTTAGGAGGAGGTCTTGAACAAACACACACACAGACTCTCTCAAATATATAGTAGATAATATGAATGCCATCTTGTCCCATGGCTTTCCTTCCCTTTTGCTCTACTGTATTTGTGGATATTATTTGTATTTTGATAAGGCCTAGAGCTTCCCCTTAAAATAGGAACTTGCACATCCCAAAATTCTTTACAATCTAGATAAATTTAGCTAAGGCACAAGTCAGGGAAGTTATACCCATTTTTCCAATTTGAAACAAACACAGCGTGCCCAAGGTCAGATCTACACTACGCTGCAAGGTTGACCAAAAGGTACACAACACCAGCTATGTGAATAGTGTAGCTGGAGTTGACATTCCTCAGGCTACGTTGCTATTGGATCTCCACTCTGATGGGGTCAACGGGAGAAATCTTCCATTGACTTCCCTTAAGCTTCTAGTTCCAACTGAGTACCGTGTCAATGAGTGAGCGGTCGGCTGTCAACTTAGTGAGTAGGGATGTGAAGGACTAGTCGACTATCTAGTAAGCAAATGCTTATCAGACAGTCAACAAGCTTGTTGATTAGTTGCTGCCCCATCCCCTTTGCTGCCTCTATCGGAAAGAGGCAGCAAGGGAGGGAAGAAGGAGGTTTTTCAAAGCAGCAGCGCCACGTGGAGACTGGGTCCAGACTCCGGGCTCCACGTGGCGCTGCCACTTTGAAAAGCCATCACAGAAGCCCAGAGTCAGGCTCCTCCTGGCATTTTAAAGTGGAAGGGCCACATGGGGTCCAAGGTCAGCTGACCTCAGGCTCCATGCGGTGCTCCACTACTTTGAAACGCCACGGGGAGCCTGACTCCGGGCTCCTGTGGTGGCATTTCAAAGCTGCAGAGCCACATGGAGCCCAGGGTCAGCAGGGAGACCACATGGCGCTTTCGCCTTTAAAATATAGCAACAGCCCTAGGGCTGGTTCTACACTTCAAAGGCAGAGACACCCTATCAACTGTTGAATTGTCGATGCAAAATAAATCGACTAGTCGATAAATCAATTACCTGCAGTTTAACACCCCTATGAATGGTAAACCTGCTCTGAGACAAGAGATAGGGAAGATTACACAAAAAGCTTCTCAAGCTCATCTCATCTGAAGAAGTGGATTTTGCCCACAAAAGCTCACAATTTTTATTTATTTGCCGGTCTCTAAGGTGCCACAAAACTTCTCATGGTTTTTCAAGAAGCCTGTTGCAGAGCTGGACATCTAGCCTAGATCTCCATCACAGAAGTGTAAGGGCCTACACAGAAGACCGTCTTCCTTCCACAGAGGAGGAAAGTTCATTAGTGGTCAGTTCAACTGTTTATTGCAGTGGCTTGTTTTTTTTTAACTGCTGTACCAAACTATCAATTTGCTTTTATCAGTATTCAAAGAGTATTTATAGGCAATATTTGAATATCAAATTGTAAGAACAAGAGTTTAATTTTGTAACTATGTAAACTGACATACCATGAGACTTCCTAGTTGTAAGGCAAAAGTTATTTTTAGTTGAATTCTATAAAAAATCATTTTATGTAAAAATGTGTATATTGGAGATGGTATTTTAGGCTAAATCTAAATCCAAATTCAGATAGATTCAAAACAGAAAACAAGCAAACGTGTGGATTTGATGGTGCTGAAATTCTTGTACGATGTTTTTATTAGGTGAAAATGTTATAGTAGGTTGTGTTTAGACAAAAGGCACAATTAACTAGAATTTACAAATGTCTGAAGTAATTTGAAGAAGGAAGTGATAATTATGTGCATTTATTCTTAGGGAAATGTAAACACTGTAACACATTTCCAAATAAATGGTAATTTACTAATGGAAGGACACATTTAAAAGTCTCAGTGGTATATTAGATATACCTGGAACAGATATTTAAAGGTGTTGAGATTCCAGGTTGAGAGAGTAAACATTAATAATCAGCGCTAAGATGTGTGTGTAACAGAACAGCATGACAACTAGCAAGCTCATTAGTTATGCTATGTACATATACGTAGCTTTAGCCCCAAGATGGAGTCTGCTCTGCAGGCATCTGTGGTCAAGAACAGACATTTGCAAGAAAATGCATTCCACCCCAGAGGCACCTCTTCCTCACCCCCACGAGTAAACATGCATACATTGGAATAGTTCAATCTATTATATATTTAAGAGTGTGTGTCTGTCTGTCCTTCTGTCTGTTCTTTCAAGAACTCCTGCTAAAAGCTATAAGATTTAGGACCACCAAATTTGGTATTCAGCTTCCTCCTATCATAACTTAAAACAAGGTAAGGGTTTGGTTGTGCCAGGAAAATGGAATGTGCCTGGAATAAGATTGTTTCTCATAAAACCATACAGAAAAAAGAATCACCAGGCAGGTGAAAAGGGCTCCTCCCCCTGTCCGGAACTGCCCCGCCCTGAAATTCACACCTACCCCCTCAGACACCCTTTGGGGAGAGTGGGGTGGGCTGAAGCTCTTCCCTCCCCAATTTGTACCAACATTGCTAGCTGTTTCCCTTTGTCAGGGAGTGAGGGGGAAGAGCACAGCTTGCTGCATTCCTCACTCTGGTTGGGGAGCTCAAAGAGCAGATGAACATGGACCTGCTGCAGCCAGAGGACATGCATCCCTCCCCTAGCTGTGCCCACTGGAGCCTATGGAGAGATGCTTATCACCTGGCCCCTAGCTGCTGTGGTGAGAGAACTAGAGTAGTCCTTTCTCCCTGGGGAAAAACCCCTCGTCCCCAGCCTCAGCCCAGGACAATGATTTAAACAAAGCATATCCATTTTCATTTTATTTTCCAAAAAACAGAAATTGAGTTAAGGACTCGAGCAATGTTGGGTAAATCTTCTAGTGAGTATATAAAAGATAAATATTGATTTACAGAGGGATGAATAACAAAAATGCCACAAGGGGACAGATTAGGGGAGCAGTAAAACAGGGTTACTTCCAACATGAGGCCACACAGGACCTGTGGTACCACAATATGAAAGGGTAGGCACAAGCAATGAATCTACAAGAGTCCTGGGCAAAGTTTTTAATGAATGGAGATTGCCCATCTCCTAGAACTGGAAGGGACCTTGAAAGGTCATTGAGTCCAGACCCCTGCCTTCACAGCAGGACCAAGTATCATCTCTGACAGATTTTTGCCCCAAATGTCTGCCTCAAGGATTGAACTCACAAGCCTGAGTGTAGCAGGCCAATGCTGAAACCACTGAGCTATCGCTCACCCCCTCCCCCAAGTTCCAGTTTGGCAATGAGCCATGGGTGTTTTTGATCATCTTTGACATCAGTAAGAACAAAACCCACTGGTGTGGTCTCCTACTGCTCTCTGGAAACCCACACAGAGCGACAACCTACCCACCTAACTAACTATAGTCTTCTTCCTTATTCCCATTGCAAGGCCACAACCCAAGGTACTCAAACCCAAACCTCTCTGAACAACAGCGAGACTAGGTCAGGCTCCTGTTTGTCCTTCTTCAGTGATCCCTCCCTGCACAGTGCTCCTCCTGGCTCCGGTCCTGGGCCATATCCTGTTGGCCACTCTGTCCCTCCTGGGTTTCGGGTAGGTTCTTGGCTGCTTTACTATTGTCATGGCCTACTCGCTGTAGCCCTCTTATAGGAAGCTACAGACCCACACACACCCTGTCCTCTTCCATCTCTCCATGCCTCTGCAGCCATCAGCACCTCCACTGTCTCAGGACAATGTTTTAAAGTGGCCAAATTATCTAAACCCCAATGAGGTATATATAATTGCTATCTTCCTATTTGATGTAGCTACACAAAGTCTCTCATATATTTCTGGCAGCTCTCAGATAAGGTGTGGGACTGCAGCTCATGGAGAAATGTGCTTCTAGCCCTTTGAATTGGAGATCCAAATAGACCAATGAGCAAGCTTGACAATCCCTAATCAAACCAACAAG